TGGCATCTTTAATTTTGTGTTTTGTTACTTATTCTGAATATTCGTAATGAACGTTACTGTAATGTACGTTACTGATAAATACGAAACTGCGGAGAAACACGGATTTATGCTGTAACAGCTTTACTTCTGACGTGATCAGACAACGCCATTTTCTCACGTCACGTTGACGTCAAATGAAGGTAGAAAAATCAACATTTATGAAGTTGCAAGCACTCCAAGTAAGTTTGAATTGTGGTGTATTTTGTGGGAGTTAAAGAATAGTAACATATATCCACATTTTAACGAACGTGAACATTTTTGATACATAAGTGACGGGAAAATGTACGTAAATATATGAAAGTTGTCATTTGTTAACAAACACTCCATGTTCAATTGCTAACTACAGGGAAATCTACGTTACCGATGGTAATGTACATTACCAAAATCTTATCAGCTAAAACATCATGAAATGGAATAGTTTTCTTGATTGTTAAGCAAATTACTCATAGTGATACTAAAGGTTAAAAGCATGTTTTGTGTTGAAATCACGTTTGTCAAAAATATTTGAATTTACTGATGAATTGTGATGAATGAAAAGTGCTCTAGAAAACAATGCTCAGATTTATTAATGTTGGTTGTTAAAGTGACAAAATGTGATTAAAACGACGATGGTTATAGTAATTTTGGAATTGTAATTCAAGGCAAGTATATTTTTAATAAGAATTAGCTTCACTATTGTCTAATTATGTTCTACCTTTGGAACAGTAGTCATCACAGCGACGGTAACATACATTTCTACACAGGTAACGTACATTTCCCTTGCATTAATTCATGTTTTATTTTCGTTATTTCACAGAAATGACAAAGATTCGTGCTGAAATCCAAAAAGCCTATAGAGAAAGACAGAAAGAAAAGAAAGGTGAAGCATATCTTGCTAAGGAAAGACAAAGAAGAATGAGATATTAGTATTACATACCAAGTTCAGAATTGACAACTAAAGAAAAACTTAAAAGAAACAAAGAAAACAGAGAAAGAGTGTAGATGTTTAGGAACAGAAAGAAGGCAGAGGCAGTTCAAGCAGCAGCTGTCCTTTCGCCAAGCGATACCAGTGGATATGATACTGTGGATAACATCGGGTCTCCAAGCAATGAGCAGAATGGCATGATTGTTAGAATGAACTTTCAGACATGTAGATGCGCTGGAACAAGACGTCGAAGTAGCTGTGCACTTGCTAAAGCTCACAAGACAATTTCACAGTTAAGAATAAGGAATCTTACTCCTACCAGAATGTACAAGACCATTCAAAAATGGCGTGAACGAATGAGTTCTAAAATGGTATCCTCGTCAAACTCACCTCGAAGTAGAACAGAACATGATCTGAGACTTGCCGGAATGTCTAAGGTGCAAGGAAAGAAAGTTAGAAGACAGTTGCTGCTTGGAAATGCTCTTCTTAGCGAAATAGAACAAGCTAAAACAGAAGTTGGTAGAACTAAGAACAAAGAAAAGGCTCTTCACAGTTTAATATGTGGAAAAATCATTAAGAAGTACCGTGGCTTATCTTGGCTGGCTGCTCGTACAGGGATGAATCGAAATAAGCTTTTGCTTTCAGGAAAGAAATGGACCTCAGTACCAAAACAGAAACGGTCACGAACACAGATGAAGTATAGAGAAGAAGTGATGGCATTCTTTGAGAGAGATGACAATAGCCGTCTACAACCTGGCAAAGCTGATGCGAAATCCGACAACAATGGTGTAAAGATCCAGACACGTGTTCTGACAGACTATCTTGGGAACTTACATTGCAAATTCCTGTCGGAAAATCCAGGCTTACTTCTATCTCGTGCCACATTTTGTAGAATGAGGCCCAAACACATTCTGACAACACATTTCATTAGCAGGAGTTCTTGTATATGCACCAAGCATCAGAATATGGCTCTTCTTCTGAAGACCCTTAGACGAGAGGGTGCAAACCCTGATACATTTATCAAGACACAGAGTATCAATGATGAGGAGCTTGCATCACTCCCTGCAATGGTGTTGGTAGGACATTGGAAGAGAGTTGAGATAACAGAGAAAGATCGCAAGAAGAGCGTGATGAGGGGATCAGGCTAAAACGGCCCCATGACAAAACGGCCCCAATTTTGCTTGGCTAAAACGGCCCCAAATTGGCTAAAACGGCCCCGACGTAAAACGGCCCCGATGTTGCTATCAACTATGTTGCTTGAAATGACTCCGTACAATTGCAAAAAAAAAAAAGACGTGAAATATATTTCAGCATTTATATTGACATGTAACATATATTGAAACCAGAAAAAAAATCGTAATACACTCCTTGCAGCACACACAGCAGTACCACTAACGTGCTTGACGATGTATTTGTTTTCAATTTTAGTGTAATCTGAAGTTACATAATGGGTATTAAACAAAATAACAACACAGATTCATTAAAGTACTATTGCTAATATTTGTCAAAACACCAGCTCTGTCAGGATTAACTCGACACAGAGCAACTGCTACTTCAATGTTGTTTTAATGACTGTATGTGTGACTTCATGGTATGGATGTGTTTTTAACAATTTGAATTCTGATTCTGAAATCTAATGTTTTATTTGTCAAACTTAAATTTTAGTGAATATTGTTAGATGATCTGTACAATATTCAGTTTGATTCACATGTATTATTGGCCTCATGGCCATTTAAACAGAATAAAATCATGATGAAAATGTCAAAGTTAATTAATTTAATAAGTAATTGAAAAATATGCGTTTTGATCTATCATTTATGACTAAGGACACACATTGAAATAAAACTGATTATTTTGGGGCCGTTTTGGCAAATATGGGACCGTTTTTACTTGGGGCCGTTTAGTACGGGGCCATTTCAGCCAAAGCATTTGGGGCCGTTATAGCCAATTTGGGGCCGTTTCGTCTTGGGGCCGTTCTGCTGTGGGGCCGTTTCAGCTATAACCCGTGATGAGAATAGTAGAATCGGTAATGGAGAAGACCAAGCTAATCTCGCAGCTATCTTCACAAGTGGATGATTTCAAAGGGCATGTTGAAAGAATTCTGACTCAGTATGAACAAATTCGGCGATTGAAAGAACATCTCCCTCAACATGACATGGTCGTACAGATGGACTTCGCTGAGAACTACAGCTGTAAGAGTGTAGAGGAAATTCAGAGCACATAGTGGAACCAGTCCAGTGTAACCTTGCATCCTGTTGAAGCCTACTATAAGCAGGACGACAAACTCCACCATCAAAGCATTGTTGTAGTATCGGATGATCTGTCACATACTGCAGCTGCAGTGCACGCATTCCTGAAGGGCATCATTCATAAACTCAAAAGTCTGGATCCAGAATTGAAGACTATTCATTACTGGACTGATGGACCGACAAGTCAATACCGCAACAAGCAAATGGTCTTCACGACCGCAAACCATCTTGAGATGTTTGGGACAAATGCACGTTGGAATTACTTTGAAGTAGGGCACGGCAAGGGGCCGTGCGATGGACTCGGAGGAACCACAAAGAGAATGGCAGATGAAGCTGTGAGAAGTGGACGAGCAGTTATACAGGATGCAATGGATTTCATGAAATGGGCTGAAAACTCAACAAGGAAAGATGTTCAGTTTCTGTATGTCTCTTCAACAGATTGTCAAAGGGAACAGGCTGTACTAGCTGCAAGACCAGTGAAGGTCCTCAAAGGAACATTTGCTGTTCATTCTGTCACAGGTCTCAGTAACTCTACAGTAGCAGTCCGTAACGTCAGTTGCTACTGTGAGATCTGTTTGGATGGAGACATATGTTCATCCTGGAGAAAGGAATGCCTCGCGACTGGTGCTGTTCAAAAGAATGCAGTGGAAACTCAGATGAATGATGCAGAGAGGAATGCAGCAGAGTCAAGGGCGCCCGTGATCACCCAGTCTCTGCACTGTAAGTTCAGCATTGACGGCTTTGTTGGTGCAGTATATGATCAAAATTGGTATGTTGGAAAGGTCTTAACCATCGATGACGAAGATGGAGAGATGGAGATCAGCTTTCTCCAAAGAAAGAAGAATATGTTTCAATGGCCAAACAGAGAGGATGTCATTTGGGTTTCAAAGGACGATGTCCTCTGCAAAATTGATGCCCCTGTTCCTAGTGGCAAATCAAAGAGAATGCTGAAGATAAGGGAGTCAGATTCTACCATCATAACATCCACTTTTGAGGCATAGCTGCTTGTTGTCTTCATCAAGGTTTGAGACTTTCATTTGTTTACCGTTGTTTATCATTCTGGAATAGTTTTATCATGATGTTCATCAGAAATAACTCACCAAAAGTGGTTTGTGAAAGAAAATGCAAGTGGAGCATTTTGATGAAATGTACGTTATATAAACATTTCATGTTCTTTGTTACATGTTCAAACATTTACAATGTTCAATTTGAATGAAAAGCACTATTTTGTTTTAGTTCAATCAATATGGGTAGGTATCATTGACCAAATCTATTTTTGAAATTTATGAGTTTTAGTAGTAATGTACGTTACTGATTACATTGGTTTGAAAAATGAAAGTTGCATTTGTTTAGAAAAGGTGATTGACCTTTGACCATTGTCATTAAAGACACAAATGGTGTTCCAATATAGAACAACGAATTTGGTTTGATGCAACCCTTCGTTATTTCTTAAGCAAAAAAACATGCATTAAGGTTTTATTAAATGGAAATGAAAAAATGTGTCAATAAAAAACACATGATTTCAACTGATCTTGGCGTTTTTCATACACCTCATGTTGTTGTGAAAATCATTTCTCTTGTGTTTTGTACATATGTGATAATAAGAAACATCATTTCCAAAGGTGTATGTATAAAATAATAGTTAAAAAGCACAAATCCTTCAATAAGAACCCAAATCACTTACATTTCAGGAGCAGTTTATGTGGTATTTACGTCCCAAATGAGATGCTAAGTGACGAAAAATTGAAAGCGAGTTATATCCTGTTCCTTTTGGAAAATGTTACATTAGGTATTGAATATTTTGAAAACAAAAGACTCTTTATCATAAATAAACTTTGGTTTTTCTAAGGCTGCAAATAAAAATTGCAACGATTTATTGAGAATGAGTGTGTAATACGGTTGAAAACCGTGCAGCTCTATGCCTAAACGATAGCATGTTTCTGCCTCGGCCGACCTCTCTCTCACCACTGCCCGTGGCTCGCATCGCCTCACCTCGCTGTCACATGACTGTCACATGACCCATACTCTTGTTCTAATTATAGCTTACTGCTGTCAAACAGATGCTATAACTGGCACTTACACACTCTATGAAGCATTTACTCTTGTAGCTGACTGGGAACAATTAGCTTCACACCTTTAAACAACAGTCCATCCACTGTCTTAATCTCATCACGAATGTTCCAAAAGTCTCGTACAAGTACAGGAACATCCTGCCTGTCATCTGGCCATCCAGATGGAACAATTGATTTCAACTGTTGCAATTGCACATCATTAGCAGTAGCATCTTTGAATTCTGTCACCTTTTCAGGCGTCATGGGAAGCATTGAGATGAAGTTCACTTCATAGTCAGTGTCTTCAAACCATTCATCACTTGCTGGTAAAAATGCTCTACTCAAAGCATCAGGAACTATGAGTTCTTTGCCCGGTTTGTATGAAACATCCAAGTCATATTTCTGCAAACGTAACAACATTCGTTGTAGACAAGACGGTGCTTTGGATAAGGGTTTGCGAAAGATAACCTCCAGTGGTTTATGATCTGTCTCTACTCTGACTGATTTTCAAATGGAACTTTTCGCATCCATGAAGAATTCCAAGCATTTCTTTTTCAATTTGAGCGTTCTTCTTTTGTGTTTCTGTGAGTGATATGGACGCAAAAGCCACTGATCTGTCATTCTGAGACAACATCGCCCCTAGCCCTTCTGAGCTTGCATCTACCGATAACGTCACTGGTTGGTTGACGTCATAGTACTGGAGAATGGGAACGTCCGTCACCCGGTACTTCAGTTTCTGAAAACACTGCTTATGTGACTCAGTCCAGTGCCACACAATGTCATTGGCCATTAGCTCCCTCAACACTGCAGTCTCATGTGACAATGTGGATTTGAACTTGCCAAGATACTGAATAATGCCCAGGAATCTCATTAAGTCTTGCTTACTTTCCGGTTCCGACATGTCACGAATCGCTTTGAACTTTTCAGGGTCGGGTTTGATTCCGTCCTTCGTAAGCAGATGACCCACATATGACACTTCAGACAATCGGAGTTTACACTTTGATTTGTTCAGTGTAACACCTTTCTCAGACAGTCTCTTCAGAACTGCGACAAGTCTATCATCATGCTCAGGAACATTTCTGCCCCATACCAACACATCATCAACAATGCACTCTGCACCATCGAGTCCTTACAGTATCTGTGACATAGCTCTTTGAAACACTTCAGGTGCAGATTTCACACCAAAGGGCAAGCGAGTAAACCTGTAACGTCCAAAGGGTGTGTTGAAAGTACATTATTTGGAACTAACGTCATCAAGTCTAATCTGCCAAAAACCTGCTTCAGCATCCAAGACACTGAAAACAGTAGCACCTGGCAATCTCGACATTATTTCCTCATCAATTCTCATTGGATAGTGTTCACGCTTCACAACTTTATTGAGATCTTAAGGATCAATGCATATGCGTATCTTGTGAGGTTTCACCACTGTGACCATGCTATTAACCTAACTTGTAGACTCAGTTTGCTTTACAACAACACCAATTTTCTCCATTCTATTCAGGTCGGTTTTCACTTTATCCAAAAGTGCTGCTGGCACCTTTCTGGGTGGATGTACCACTAGTGTAACTTCAGGGTTGATTTCAATATGGTGCTCTCCTGGAATACAACCTAAACCACTGAAGAATTCTGGAAATTCTCCCAAAATGTTTCTCTCACTCTCAGCAGTTTTGTTAAACAATGGTTCTTCAACCATGTTTACACGTTGCACTAATTTCAGTTTTTTTACAGGATCTTTTGCCCAAGAGACTGGGTCGCTCTTCTTTCACAATCTGAAAAGGCTCTTTGTGAACAACATTATCACCTTTAACTGTACATTGGAGTTCAATCAGTCCAAGTGTTGTCATTCTATTTCCAGTGTATGAGATTAATCTGGCACGTGAATCTGACAAAGTATACTGTCCTAGATTCAGATTGTCCAGCACTGATTTAGAAATAACATTACATTGTGCACCTATATCAAGCTTGAAAGAAACATCTTGTCCTTCAGTGACTAAAACTTCCATCCAGTCTTCATCATCACTGTCTGTTTCTACCATGCCAATGAATAAATCTTCAAACTCATCACATTGTGAATCAGTCTGTTCTAAAGTATGAACTGACTTCTGTCCTTTACCATGTGTATCTCTTCTGTCAGATTTTGAAAGCCTGGATCTGCACATTCTTGCAAAGTGATGTTTACCACTACATTTGTCACAAGTTTGACCGACTGCAGGGCACCTATCCTTCATGTGCTGGTATCCGCATGCACAACACTGGGGATACTGTTGACGAGAGTACTGTTTTGCTCTACTGTCTCTGCTTGACTTTGTCTCTAGAACTTTTGGTTTGGCTTTATTCTGATTTTCTCGAAAATTACCACCTTTGTTGATTGCATGAATGTTTTCTGTTCAGTTGCTTCTTCATTTAACACTTGCGTCACTAGCTCTACACAAATCAACTGCACGACTTAAATCTAAGTCAGGTAGTAGTATACACAATGGGGGTACTAGATAATTTCCAACAAAAAGCCTCTGTAAAGCTTCATTCACGAAATAAAGCTTTTGTCAGGCCCTTATCTCCCTCCCGCTATTGTATATACCAGTTTTGAACCCCCCAGTTAACTTCCTGGTCACTATGACCGCGAACCGACACTTTCCTGATCACGTGGCACTATTGTGATCGCCCTATGTCGTGTTGACAGGAAACAGTTTAATGTGGGCTCGTCGGCTTTGATGTCCACTTTATCTGTGTTGTAAGTTTTGACTGACCATGTTGGGTCGGTGGCTCGTTTCCGAGTGTCCCCTTCGTGTTCTCCCGGTTGGTAGAGGTGCCTCACTAGGACCCGGTCAGGTATCTGTTTCTCCTTCCCACGCAATGGTGCAGCCGGTTCGGTCATCACTGATTTCAGTTTGATAGCGTCGGCCGGTTTCTTGCCGGTGAGCCGAGTGGTTTCGTGGTTGATAGCCGACACCACTTGAGGTAGCCGCGCTACCCATTCTGTAGATCGTTTTCCCGGGTTGGCTATCTCTCTCGCATACTGGTGTCCGAATAAGCGCTCGGCCAAAGTCCTATTGAATCTCTCAACTATGGCTTGACTGCGATGAGCCCCGGCTGCGCCACGCCTGACCTGGACGCCGTGCTTGGCTAGCAGTTGTGACATGGCACCCATGAACTCCCGTCCGGGATCGACTTGCAGTTCGGTGGGCCATGTCAGCGGGCTGCGCTTGTATATGCGTTCGAATCCGTGGGCTACCTGGGCCGAGTCTTTCGCGGTTAAGGGTTCGGCTTCTTTGTAGCGGCTGGCCACGTCCACGACGGCTAGGGCATACTTGTACCTCCTGTCGTGGGGTAGGAACAGGAGGTCAGCCTGGTGGACGCTATTGGGTACGGCAATGCCGAACTTTCTTCTAGGCACGTAGCGTGGTGCCGGTAAATAGATCTGCCACAAGGCTTGTTTTTCAAGCCACGCTTTGGCCTCGTCCGGGGTACTCTCGCCATTTCGGCAAGTTTATGTATGGCGCTCGCTCCTTTCCAGTACGCGGGCTGTAGTAAATAGCTTCAAACTTTCTCTTTTTCCGTGACATCTTATATACACCTATGTTCTTGGTTCAATTTTCTCATGCCCGTACGCGTACGTGTTGATCCCGTCGATGGCTATCCAATGCTTCGTGTCCATCGGCGACAGGGACGTCTTGTTTATCGTCAGTCCGTATATCCTGTGCCCATCGCTTCTAAGCGTGTTCATTTGATGCCTGAAGGTGCGGGTCTTGAACAGGGCTGTTTGATGTGTTGTTTCACCACGTACTTCTTAACACCCTTCGCCTTTCGGATCTCACCATTGTTGGCCTTCAGGATGGAGTACATCTTGGGTCTCAAGCCTATGTACTCAGCTATGGGCGTGCCAGCACACTCGTCCTTCATCTTACCGAGGACCTTTTTTGTTAACCGTGCTGTGCATGGCATGGTCCTTGGGGTAGTCACTGGTGTCATATAAATGGATGTGTTTTACCATGTCCTCGTACACGTCTTCGGTTCGAATCTCCATCAGCAAGGAGTCCGTGTCCGTGTACAGCACTTCACGTCGGTCGCCGTACTGCCTCTTGAGCTCATTGTAGTAAAAGTCGTACATCAGGTGCTTGGAGAGGTCGAGGATGTCGAGGCTCTTCCTCATATGTTCGTCACGATATGGCTGAAATATTGCCGATGTGACGTTAAATCTTAAATCACTCACTCCTCATATGTAGAGCCACCAGATCGTCGGTGAATAACTTGCTCTGGTTGAATGCTCGTGAGCTTGTCTTCCTCTTTCGCCCGGACCAGCTTCACGGTCACGCGTTTTTGCAAATTCTCCATCGTCTTACCGAACACCAAGTTGTTCATGAGCTTGTAGAGGTTCTTCTCGAAGTCACTGGTGCCCAGCTTTCGCAGGTCCGTGTTCATTCTGATGTAGGGCTCCATCCACGAGCTCTGGTCGAACTTGAGCACCCTATGGGTTTTAGTCAGCTTCATACCCAGCGACAGGTACAGCTGCAGGTTAAGATAGTGAACGATGTACTTGGTCTTGTTCATCAAGTTGGGTACGAGTTTTTCAACGCTGGCTAGCTTATTACCCCCCACCCTCCGTTGGTAGTCGGACATCCAGTCCGGGTTCACTATCAAACGTTCTGGGGCCAGAGGTTAGGTGTTGTGTGACTTATGTAATGCTGTTGGGTACGCCAAGTCAACTTCGAGTATGTAACCTACCCGCGAATCCGGCGGTATGCTAATGACATCTATCTCAGGCACCCACTCGAATCCCCCGATGGGTAGATACTGGCTCATGGCCCAACCATACAAGTTGTTGGCGTCGAGATAGAGGAGATGATTAATGGGTTTGCTAGCATCGTAGCCCTTCACGTACTTATTGTTGGCTCTTGTGTAGCGTTTGGCAGCCATGGAAATCCCACCTCGCAATCCTTTTTCGATGAACAGGTGCATGTCGTAATCGGTGAGGAGTTCCAGCTTAACTCCGGTTTTCTTCAGCAAGGCATCCCAAGAGAGACCGGGGCTAGTGTAGTACCACGCAGGGTCGAGTTGATACTGCTTAAAACATCGATCAGTGATGGGGAAGGTATCGTTTGCTTTGACCAAACTATTGAGAGACGACAGTAGGAACTGAACCGAGTCTATGAACCTCAGGCCGTTCAGGCTGAAGGAGATATATCTCTCCATGTTGTTGGGGATGCACGTCAGGTTGCCGTCGACTTTCGCGATAGCCTGCATGATCAAGTGGGAGTCGTACCCTCTCAAGTTGTGGAAGACCACGGGGATGGTGATCGTTTTGGGGTTGATTCTGAGCTTGAGGTTGCACGCGCTGTGAGCGGCGCCTCTGTACTCCCCGGTGACATGGCAGTGATCTCTCACCGAATCGCCGTTCAGCGGGCCGTTGCACACGTGGCAGTGAGTGCTGCAGCCGTGAGCTCGCCGGTCGGCTTGGGTCATACGCATGGGAACGACGGTGTACAACCTCTTCCTGATGGCTTTCTTTTCCTCCTGCAAACACTTTAGAAACTTTTCAGCCGCGTCGGGACCCCTGTACACCACGGGAGCTTTCGTTTCCCCATCACGACCCCGTATCCGAACCCACAGGCCTCGTGCTCCTGCGTTTTGTATGTGTTGGGAGCCGGGCCGATGTCAACGGGTTTGACGAGGGCTTCGAAGTCGGCGTAAATGATGTAAGGTACGGACATCTGATTCTTGTGGTTGTCGAATTTTAGTAAATTTCGCCTTCCTTGGGCATGTCGATTCGTATGGCCGTCTGCCCCACACCTAGGCAATACTCCCAGTGGGATTCTAATAAACCAGCTCGGGTGAAACCATGCAGGCACCGTTCGCAGAAGTGACTCTTTTCTCGGTGTGCCGATTGGTCGTACAACAGCCTGCTGAAGTGGTACTTATCACCTCGCTGGATCATGAATATATTGATCACGCGGCGACCCTCCATTGGGCTGATCCTGTGCACGATCGTTTTGTTGCCTTCGTGCCCAAAGACGTTGACGGCTATATCATTCTGTTTCTCGATTTTGGTGACCTGGGATATGGGGGTGGGTTTGTCTATACCAGCCCAGTTGAGCCCATCGTCTTGGGGATAGCTAGAAGGCATGTTCGAATTAACGTTGGCTGGAAACAAGGCTGACCTGATCACTAACCTCATGCAATCGTCCCCTCTGTTTTTGATGTTGACCATGGCCTTTTTTTTCTTGTAGTAGGGGGGTAAGTCTAGGTACGATCCCCCCCTGAATGGTACGTAGTTAGCTATGTCTAGATAGAGATTATTGATTTTATCTACAGCCCACCCGGAACCCCTGTGCGTGAAGCGTTCCAGGGTCTCTCGTATTTGTTGAAGACTGGTATCGATGCACTAGTCTATAGTCTCGGCATGAGTCACGACTTCTTGTTTACCCCGGGAGTAAGGCTGAACATACCATTCTGCTGTTTATCGAGCGACATCTTTGCCGTTATTTGAAACTTTAGACTTCCCAAATCCTTTAGTTCCTCATTAACTTTGTCAGCGATCAGCGGCTTGACGTCGCCGATGTCTATGTTCTTATCCACATGCATGCGCCAGCCTCTCAGATAGTTACCTACAGTGTGTTCAGTTCGCACAAACTCTAGATCAACGATTCTGTGTTGATGTAACAGTTCAACGAGCTCAGGCTTCCTCATACGGGAATAACCTACTAACCTCAGCTCTGGGCTTCCTGTTTGAGTTGTTTCACAGTGTGGGGACGTACGGGGCCGTGAAACAGCCTGACTAGCCCAGCTTTCCTCATACGGGAATAACCCGTCAACCCCAACTCTCTGGCTTGGTGTTTGAGTTGTTTCACTGTGGGAGGAGGTTGTATGTCGAGTAATCTAAACAATTGGGGTCTCCTCATTCGGGAGTAACCCACTACACCTTGTTCTCTCGCAATGTGCTTGAGCTCTCGGACAGTAGGCATTGTTATACCCATGCGTTACAATCTCTAATTGGCCGCCAACAAGGGAGGTAACTCCTCCAACCTTAATCAAATCCCCGTCCAGCGCTATATTTAGAATAACCGTATCGATTCTGGGTTCAGGATAGCTTTCCCATTTTATTATTTCCAGAACGTTGGGGATACACGTGTATATATTAGCTGATTCAGTCAATACTTATTCTCTGAAGACATCCAGCTTTGTAGTAACAATCATTTGAAAGTTGATGTGTCCCAATTCATTTATTTCCTCTTCGAGTTTGCTAATGACCAGAGGTCTGATGTTATCAATACTACATTTACCCGGAAACTTCAACCAGCTTCTCAGGCCAAAAGCCAGGGGTGGAATTCGAATGGCATTATTATACCTAGGTGTACACAGTCTCTAATTGGGTAAGGGAGGTAACTCCTCCAGCTCTAAGTAAAACATAA